TGAAAGCAGTAACATTCAACCTGTTCGTTAAACCACACCATCGAACCAGACCAGGACCAGACCAGGACAAGTGCAAGAGGTGGGTGCTTGTGGTCAGCAGAATTTCTCTCATGAAAATGTTAAAAAGGACATGTTTTTTCACTTCGCTGGACCAACTGTGGAGCCTCCAGATCCAGTCCTAGCTACGTTTAGCTGGGACTGGACCTGGACCGCTGTATCAGGTCCGTCTGAGCTCTTCTGAATGTAGTTAGCCCCATCAATCCATATTAGTATTGTTTGTCCTAATCCAGAATGTATACAATTCTCACACCTGAAGAAAGATGAGAGGGATTTTTTCAACTTCGTGACTATCGGAAAATAAGCACAGACGAAGCGCGTTGGGGTCCGCTTATTATACGGCTTTGTACCAACTGAACACACAAAATAAACTTCTGTCACTATTCATGCCAAAAGGTTTATTTAATGAGTGCAAAGAAAATAGTTCCCAAAGGTTTTAGTTCACCTACTTTAAAAAAGCGATCGCTTTAGTCGCATTAAAGAAGTATTTTTGTCATGAAAACCTTAACAGATAATTCTGAAAACCTCTGTGCACGTGTGTTGTATGAATATTATATTCTAGCATTAACATTTAAATATGTTGATTGATTGTCGTTTGCGTTTACTGAGTGTGGCTAGCTCCGATAGTTTCTCTCTCAGAGACAGTAGTGGTGTAGCCCGTTGTGACCCCATGGATCTATTATAATATCGGCTGACTGTAGTTAACTAAATGATCAAACTAATTACGAAATGGACAGTACAAAAAACAACTTGATAAATGGAAGTTAATCAGAGCAAAATAAACAAAGAAGGCGCTAACATTGCAATTTAAATGACTAGATAATGTTAGCATAATCCTCACCATTACCTTTTTATCAAATCAAACTTTCTACCAGTTACTGGAAGACCACGACATTCAAGCCAACGTTTTAATTGGTCTACACTATGATCCCTGATGGTTTGATGGTGGAATTTTGCCCCTGGTTTATCATTTTCGTCTAAAGTGACAAGAGGTATTTGATTCATTTTGGCAGTGTTTGTCCGAAACATGTGGGCGGGAGTTGACAGGCGGCGGGGGCGTGTCTTAGTGACGTCATTCAGATAGTTCGCTATTTGGATGGCTTAAACTCACTGGACAGCAACTTTCACAGGGCTGGGGAGTCCTTCGATGATATTCATTATGGATTAATACGAGGAGGAATTCCTGGTGGAGTTGCAATCCTCTGGAATAAGAAACTGGATTCCTTATTAATGTTGTAAGACTTGAAGTAGATTGGTGCCATTAAACGGACAGAATGGTGAGGAATATGTTGTAAATGTATACTGTACATGCCATTTGAGTGCAATGATCATGAGACTGAGTTTAGCTTTTATTTATGACAAGAATTTCACTATTGAGTTTATTATTGGTGATTTTAATTTGGATATTACTGACAGTTAATCCATGTTTGGCAATCATTTGAACCGCTTTTGTAGTGATAATGGCTTAATCCTGTCAACCAGAGCAATTTTGCAAACTAAGAACGAACGTACTATACTAGAGTAGACTCAATGGCCAGGAAGCTGTATTGTAACACCGCATTTGATTTCTGGAAAGAAGTGAAAAGCCTGACAGTGAATATCCTTGAGCTGTGGCGTCAGCATTATTACAGATGATTCAATTGTGTTCCAAGAGAGACCTGGTGTGTGAATAATGTTGAACCTGATCACAACCCCTGAGGTTCAGGAAGCTATCTCTAAGTTGCCCAATAATAAGACCAGCGGACAAGATGGTGTCTCAGCTGAGTATTTAAAGTTTGCAAGTGCAAGGTTAGCTCCACTGCTGTCCATCTGCCTCACTGCTTTCCTCGTTCACAGCTTTCTACCAAACTCTGTGTTATGTGTATTATTGGTCCCAGTCATTAAAGATAAAATGGAGAAAGTTGACTCTTCTGAAAACTGCAGGCCCATAGCTCTGGCCAGCATTTTTTTGAAGCGTAAATAAAAAAGGCAATATTTTCAGAAAGTGACTACTATAATGTATGGAGAGATATGTGTATAGATTGCACTTAGATTGAAAAAAAAATCAAAAGGGATGTGACCAAGGTGGAAAAAGTTGTCAGGGAGCTTGGACCAGATGGGATGCTGTCATAAGCAGGAACAGGAACATCAGCTGGCAGATAATAGACGGCTCCCACAAGCAAGATTAAGCTTCTTTCTAAGGGCAGCGTTATGACACCCTTCCATGCCCCTTGAAATTTCTTTGTGGTTTGGTTCAGAGAACAATTGTCCTCTTTGTGCAAATTGCAATGCGGGCCTCCAGCACATCATGCCAGGGTGCAAAGTAGCTCTAACCCAATGATAGTACAGAGGTATAACAAAGTCCTGAGAAAACTGTCTGAATATCTTAGGTCTTGCAGGCATAAGGCAAATAACGCAGAGAAAGTCCTTTCAGTTTGTAAAACCTGTTCACAAGCAGCCAGAGTGTGCAGCAACAAAGCATGTTCTAAAATCTGGGCAGGACTTAGATATCAGAGTGGATCTCGGCCGGTAATTGGTGTTCCCTCCAGAGTTCACATAGAGAAAGTCTACATAGCATAAGAATACGGTAGATACTATAAAATCACTTGTTCCTTCTGATCACGTTTACTCACATTTGTGAAGATTGAATTTAAACTTTGCTGGTTACATTAGTGTCCATTTGTGGCCAATTGCTTTTCACCAACATCCATTTCCAATTTGTCCACTTTTTAAAAACGTATTTAGAGTAAAAGGGACAAAAGAGATCCATGCTTTTGCGCTGCAGGAGAGCGGCTGTAATTTCATTATGACATTTCCAGTTTTGTTTTGTCAGATAATGCACTTAAAGCACTTATCTTTGACTTGTTACTACATTTCATTAGTGCTAAAAAAGAAGATTGCAAACCTTAGGTGATTATCTGATAATTTTCAACATGTTTTTATCTAAATTGCCTAAACACTTGGTTCTTTTTGTGCTTTCCTAAGCATAACTTGTATTGTACAGTATGTTGGGGTAAATAAGTCGGAAGCTCTCACTTTCTCCTCAGGGCACATAATCATATAGGAGTTCTGCTGTCTGCACTTTTGTCTTACGTTTAAAATAATAAAATCCGGTTGTGAGGAGCGACGCCACAGGGTGTTGCTCCAGCCTCAGGGTGTTGCTCCAGCCTCAGGGCATTTCCCAAAGACAGATGGACAGTGCTGACCTGTTTGCTCAATAGCCTAATGGGAAAGGGCTCATGGACATGGACAAAGTAAACATAAAGGGCAGGTTTATGTTCTATCCGCCAACTCACAGACAGCTAATAGAGCACAAAATGCATTTACAGCTAGCTAAGATACATAGCAGCTACTCTTATTGTATGTTTTGTGTGCTCCATGTGTCTTCTGACTACTGTCCTATATGTATGCTGCAACATTAAAATTTCCCTTCTGTGAGAAGTGGAGAAAATGACAAACGTCTGGGGATCGTGTCAGACAGACAGAAGAAATATTTTATTGTCTATGTTTGCCAAGACACCAACAGAGATTCACACAATGGAAGTGATATCATATGAGAAGAATCATAGACATTCCAATCAGCATTTGCCACGATGCCAGTAGCTTCGGCCTTGAGATTACCAAAACATTCAAGTGGAAAAGCACCAAGCATGTGTTATGATGAATTCACCTTTAACCACAGTTGCTTCAAAGTGTTATAAAATATTCAAAGACTAATAAAGGATCTCCCACAGTATCTTATCTTAATCTGGCATTTGGACACTGCTCACTATTTAGCAACAGACACGACAGAGCACTATTTTATAACAGCCACAACATGTCTTTATTACCACACAAAGGGTCAGGTGTTGGATACTGATGGATGATGAATGGTTGAATATGTTTGAAATCACATTTATGTATAATATTGATTTTCAAGGATTATGATTAAAAGGCTATTTTAGCAGATGTTGACATTTGTGGTTGTTTGTCGGTAGAGTCTTAAGTATCACAATTCTGTCCTCTTACATATGTTATCAGTAGGTCTGCTCACCATTGGATGTTGTGGGCCACCTGTACGAGTGGAGAAACAATAATTGTGCAGTTGTTGTTTAATAATCTTAAACAACTGTTGTCTTTGTCTGTGGAGCCCATTTAGTTGGGTCACTCACCTGCAGTCATATTCCAAGTTTCTCACAGTAATATCACTGCCATAAAGCTTGTAGTGTTTTCATCGGCGTTTTTGCAGTGTTCTTCCTTTTTGGATCGGTATCCCATGGAGAAAAAAATATGCAAAAGAGTGGGCCACTTTTTTTGAGACTAAATAAGCTTGTCACGTAGGCTGCCTTTGTTTTTCTATCAGCTGCTCTGCTGTGGCTCTGACTTATCTCACTCAATCGGTGGCAGATGCTCTGTACATGTCACGTTTAGTATCTGCTTGGCTCAACATCCTCCGGTCCAAGGGGCCAGCACCTAATAGTTTAGTGGTAGGGGAAACCGTAGGAAACCTACTGAGACACGGGGAGAACATGCAAATGTTCCGACCCAGGACCTTCTTGCTCAGAAGCCAAAGTGCTATCCACTCAGCCACCGTGCCTCCCAAAGGAAAAGTAACAATAAAACCCATCCATCCATCCATCCATCCATCCATTCCATCCATCTGGCTCTTGGGAACAATAAAACCAAGATGTTGAATTAGTAACTAAAATCATAATTGATTAGATAAGATAAGATAGACTTTATTGATCTCACACTGGATACATTTACAGATAACAAAATAGGTAACATTTATAACAAATAGGATGAGATATTTACAACGACACACGATAAATAGGTTACCACAAGGTTAAACTTCTTCCCACTCCTTATTTATGATCCCTGTTTATAAGCAAGTAACAACAGCGACCCAATTCTTGATCTGAATCGTTGTGGTTTCGGCCCTGACTCCTGAATGACCCAGTCGTACACATTCTCATGAAAACAGAATGCACTCAAACAAGCTGCACATTCCTCTTCCTCTCGTGCGCTCGCTGCTGTGTTCTGTGAGTGCGTTAGCTGCAGTCTGGAGGTCGTGCGGGGGGTACAAGAGCCTGAGTCTGGCCTCCCAGTGGGAAGTGAACCATGGTGAGTCCTCATTAAGCCTCAGCGACACTACTGTAGCCCTGCAGCCTTCTCTCTGTGTTCTTCCCCGACAAGTGTGAGTGAGACTCCTAAGCACACCTAAGAACTTTAATGATGTTTCCAGTTCTTTTTAAAGCCTAATATTTGTTTGCTTGGCTCAAAACAATTCATTAGTGGACAAGACTGCAGTTGTTCTTGGCACCTTTGTGGTTGTTTTTTATTGTTTTTGGAATTAATTAGTTCACCCACTGGCTATGCATTCAGAGCAGGAGAGAAAGAACATTTAAAGTTCATCTGAATTAAAAGGTTTAGAGTAGCGCTCACTGGTTCCCAATTACCCCAAGCTTTGTCTGAACTCAGAGTACCCTCTACCTCACCCTCTAACTTAATAAATGAATGTATTTATTAAACATGGACATAAGTTACTTTGGAAATACAGGATGCGCTGCCTTTAGTGTTTATAGCAAGAGTCAAGACAATGCTAATTCTCAACACTTCTATAGGAGGCTTTTAGGACCCACATTTGAAGGGGACGTCCTATTCAGTGTAATGGAAAATGGTCAGCACTTTTCTACATTTTCAAGGCACTCAAAGGCAGCGCTTTTCATCAAAGAACCAGTCACCCATTCACACTTCTGTATCTGATATTCATGCACCAGGCATCACAGACTCTGGGGCATCATATGATAATCTATGATGTCGGGGCTCTGTATGTATCGTTCATTTGAGCTAAAACGGTGTTGTACAAGAAACCAGTTGCCTATCTCCTTCCGTCCCCTCATGTCACTTTGCTTGGTCCCTTTGATAGAGCTGCACCCAAGATTTACTTTACTTTTAATGTATTGTGATCATTTTTCTGCTTTGTGTGCTTTGAGTTTTGTTTAGCACTTCTAAGCCTAGCGTACATCGACAGAGAAACTGGAGACAACTAGTTGCAAGGCCGTTTTTGGCAACTGAGAGTAGATGATGGGAGATGATCAGTTGCCGAAATCGGTCGATGTGAGCGCTCTTATGGTGCTTTCAGACCGGATCATGCGTTGAGTCGGCTTTCAATGCAAAGACAATGGTGACGAGCGTTCGAGCGTCACAAAGCACAAACCTCTCGGCACGCACGGACGGACTGTTCAGTAGACACGCACGGACATGGCGGGAAAGTCAAAGGGGAGGAGCAGGGGGGAAAAATCAACACCCACAGGAGATGGATTCTGCTCATCCTTTCCTTGGAAAGTAGCTCTGTTAGCATCAGCGCCGGCCGGCTACTTCCGTTGCGCGTCAGGACATCTCGGTGTGAGAACCCCTGCGTCTGAAAACCAGAGACTGCGCGTCTGGTGAGCGGGGCTTCAGCGTTTCAGCGTTGGCGGTCTGAAAGCACCATTACAACTGGAGATAAACAGTCGATCTCCGGATTCAATCAGTTGCCCGTGTTCTACTTTTCGGCAACTAGTTGTCCTCAGATCCGGAGGTATCACCCGATGTGCGCGCTCCTAATAGATCCATGACGCGCTCCAACAACATGTGTGTATTGCGCGCCCTCTACAGTTTATGCCAGAAAACACACTGTTACTAGGAGTTGCCCTTTTTTGCCAGAATGTCGATGTGTGCCGGGCAGCAACTCATATGCGACGGATATATTCAGTTGCCAGTCCAATGTACGCTAGGCATTAGTTGCATTGTGTTTGAAATGTACTGTACAAATACACCCCAAGCGTATCACTAGGTGTCTGTATGTAAACACTGGTGCATATATTTGTAGCTCACTTTGATATTTGTAGACCATGGTAACTCCAGTTTACGTGAAGCAGATTGCATGAACAAACATAATGTGTCCTACTACAAGCTCACTTTGATATTTGTAGCTCACATGGACCTGCAATGTGTTTTTATTAAACGTCCACCATGCATTGTTTCCTGTTTGTATCCACTTACATCAGCTGCTGTTGTAACTGACCTCATGTTGCATTAAACTGGATATTCTTGGATTTACAGTTGGCGTTCAAAAGCAGACTAAATCCATAGCTGCATGTGTATATGAATTCTCTCAGGTTTAGCCTTTCCAAACGTTGTAGGAGGCAAGTGTTGATTGGTGTGAAAGAATATGTCACAGTGGTTAATGATGGGATTTGGTTGAGAATAGATCAATCGCATTGGAGGGTATGATGATTATGGATTGAAATAGACTCGATGGCTCTAGCGCATTGCAGAAATCTGAACCAGTCTAACGAGCTATGGTCGTCACAAAGCAATTATATGTGATTTTTTTATAAATAGTGGGGACGAGAGACTGTATATTTGAATATAAGGTAAGGAACCAAGTAAATTTTAACATGCAACAGCAATGAAGAATATTACTATAGTCAGATGAAACTTATTGATTCTCCTTTCATTTTTTTCTGACTGTTTTCATCATTAAATTATGCTTTTCACTGTCATTCTAATTCCGTGGAGGGTGGCTGGTGGAACACGGTGGACTTTGCGTGTTCTCCCTATGTCTGCGTCACTCTGCTCCATGTGGTCTGGTCTCTGCTTCCACTAATAACTTGTACATTAGTTCAGGGGGAATGAGTGAATAAATAAATTATATTAGTATATTTATAAAGCACATTTTGTACACAAAGCAATCCAAACGGCCACATGTAAAAATACACCGATTTTAATTCATAGTACTAACTGGAATGATAAAAGGCAATTTTATACAAAAAACGACAAAACAAAATATCAAAACCGAAACAAAGAAAAACAAAAATTATAATGATTAACTTAAAAATAAGTTGTGTAAAATCTATGATAAAATCTGTGTGTGAATGAGCGTGTGCAAAGCGTTGTCTAAATTAATTCATTAGTTAATCACATTGACAGAGACAAAGAGCTATTCTCATAAAACGAATATGATTGATTGCTAGAATTGGCCGTGCTTTTTCGACCACCTCTTTATAATAAAACTTTCCCAAAGCTGTGTGCCGCACAAGAGGCTATAATTTTGCCTCCAATTTACTTTCTCTTCTAATTGTTTTCCCTCCTAATTCATTTTCATAAACATGCCATAATTGAATTGATTGGGATTTCATTAAAACTGTAATGGTGCGTTCAGACCAAACGCGATTTCTGCGGCCAAATCGCGTCTATCGCGCGGCTTGAGCCGCTTGTGACAAATTGTGGCAGCCGCTGTCACAGAGAAACTTGGCCGCGCGGCCAGGACACTAGAGGGCAGCCGCTGTCACAGAGAGTTGAGAGCGTTTAGGGGCGGGGCTTGTCTCTTTTGCCTGTAGCTTCCCAACATGGATGTCAGCGAAGGAGTTGCTTTATCTGATAAATAAAGCCAGACACGTCGTCAAAGGGCGAATCGACGACGTGTCTGGATTCATCAGATAGTCCGTAGACGGTTGGAGTTTGGTGAGTTTCACCATTTGCTCCGGGAGCTACGCTCGGATGAGGGTCGCTTTCAGCGGTACTTTCGTCTCTCCCTGGCCCAGTTTGACGACCTACTGACCCGCATTGGCGCAAGGATCTCCTACCAGGACTCCAACTACAGGCGCTCTATTCCAGCTGAAGAGCGCCTGTCCATCTGTCTGCGGTTAGTGTTTTTTACCCCATTCAGAATTCCTAAAAACTTACAAAGTGTGTCATTTTTCAATCACAATCCACAATGTAATTGCTCAGAAAACAGTATTATGCAACAATATGGTGTCTATGATTACTGTCTATGATGTTTACTGTCTACTAGTTTAACGTATTTTATGCTACACAAGTTTTGTCACGTGATTTTTATGAATGTAATTGTGATAAATATGTTCATATCATTTTGTAATTGCAGGTTTCTTGCCACTGGGGACTCCTACAGGACCATTGCGGGGAGCTTCAGAGCGGGCATATCCACCGTCTCCATGCTCATCCCAGATGTGGTGGCAGCCATCTGGGACTGCCTCGTGGAGGAGTTCATGGCTGTGCCTGGAGCAGAGGAGTGGAGGTCCGATGGAACTTCCCTCTGTGCTGTGGGGCCATTGATGGGAAGCATGTGGCTGTGAAGGCACCCCCCAACTCTGGGTCCATGTTTTTTAATTATAAGGGGCACCATTCCCTTGTGCTCCTGGCTGTAGTGGATGCCCAGTACAGGTTCAGGGTGATTGATGTGGGAGGGTACGGCAGATCCAGCGATGGAGGCATCGTGTCCAACTCTGCCTTTGGTGAGGCTCTGCGCGAGGGCACACTCGACCTGCCTCCTGACCAGTGCATACCTGGAGCTGACCACAGAGGACCCCAGCCCCATGTGTTCGTGGCAGATGAGGCCTTTTCACTGCGCTGCAATTTAATGCGCCCTGCCCATCTCCAGGATGAGGATGAGGATGGCTGGAGATGGGCAGGTTCCTGCACCGAGGGGAGCTGCTGCCGGTGAAGAACCACTTCCAGGCGTGCAGCGGATGGCCGCCTGGAAGCCAGCAGTGGACATAAGGAAAGTGTTCATGGCCCACTTCAGTGAGGAGGGAGCACTGCCGTGGCAGCCCACAGAGTAGTCATGTCCACCACAAGACTGACCCACATCTGGCCATAGTCCAAACCCATATTGATTTGCACTATTCTATTCACCTGTATACCTTCTGTTTCTAGGTAATGACTGCCAGACTCCACTGCGACTCCACTCCAACTTCAGGTTAATCATATGCACATTCAAGCTTTTCCATAATTACAAGGTTGTTAAAACAGTAAAAGGTGAAATGAATAAAAAATACTGTCAACTACTGTATCGCTCTTTAAGTGTTTGTTATTCCATCTTCTATAAAACCCAGTCAGCTCTTATAAAAGTAAATGTACAAATATAGAATAGCATTTTCTGTCAATATTATATGAAAGGTAGTAATGGTTGGCTTGAAGTAGAACACATGAGGTTTGAAAAATATTTTCTTTATAAAAAAAGGAACAAACAATGAAAAATAAATGAAATGTACATATAAACAAATGAAAAGGAGCTTGCTTGGAGGAGGTGCGGTGGAAGAGGAAAGGGACACATGTCTGTTTCCTCCCCTGCAAAAGGTGTTACCTTAGGTAAAAAAAACTGTACTGGCCAATGGTTCCAAATTAAGCAGAACGGTGCTGCTTTCATATAAAAGTTGGTACATTTTGAATTTCACAAATTCTTTTGACTCTGGTGCCACCCTTTGCAGGAGAGGAAAGAGAGAGAGCAGGAACTGATGGTCTTCTGAGTAGTCGGGCGGTCCGGCTGCTTTGGTCCGTAGAGTCTCCAGCAGCTCCCGCTCCCACTCTGAAGGCCCACCAAGGAAGAGGGCTCGGAAGAGGCCCACGTCCGTAGAGCCGCCAACAAAGAACACAGGGCAATCACAGTGTTAAAAAGTGGAACATGTATTTCAAAAAAGCAAAATGAAGAGAGCAAATAATATCTGTATTAAAGCCAGAGTGTGTAGACATAGTTAAACACATGTAAAACACTTTTAAGTTGTGTGTTTGTTACAATTAACTTGAACATTGCAGTTATCAATGAAATTACTCACACATGCACAAATTTCGACAGTTACAAACTAATATCTCTGAAGTGTATTTCGCAATGAAATTTGAAATTGGCTGTAAAAAAGTAATACTCTATTGTCTGCATTAAACAGGATAGCTGCCATCTTGTGGCAACCATTGCATGTATTTGTTCAGTACTTTTATAGCATAAGGTATTTCAGTAGTATGTTTTTATCAAAGAAAGAGGGAAGATGTGTTGTATCAGACCAAAGCTTCTTTCCACCTGTAGTGCCTTGACATCTTGTCGTTTCTCTGTAAATTTGTCGTCTACACTGATGTAACAGCCCTTGGGTAATTTTGGCATATTATGCAGTAACATTTTGTTTATATGAACAGTCCTGTAATAAGAATAAAAATATAACAATGATTAAAAAAAGCCACACCTGTAGGTGCAGAAGCAGGGGAAGGTCCAGCCCTCACAGAAGAAGAACCGGCTGAGGAAGCAGCAGCAGCAGCAGCAGCAGCTCAGGCCAAGATGTCTCACCTTGTGTGGTGGTGGCAGTATCTGCGCCAGAAGAAAACAAGAAATACAATTATTTCATATCATGTGTACATTGCGCTTATGACATTTATATGTACATAATAATGTACATTATTATGTACATTTAAATGATTTGTTCATATAAAAGGGAAAAGTGAAATTTAACACAACACATGATCAAGATCTATCCTGGTTTGAAAATAGCCAATGCCTATTTTCACCTGGCCATGATGTTAAGAAAGCATTAAAAGAAATGCATACACAGAAAGCAATATAAATGTAAAAGTCAGCAAAATGTGGGTAATAGAAAGGAAAGAAATGTATTTTTTCCAACTGTTCGAGGTCTCCGTTTGCTGCATGACACCGACCTTCAGCACCTCATATGTGTCCCTCAGATTCTTCCACCGCTTTTTGCAAACTTCCACTGAATAAACACATCAACTCGTAAGCAGGAAAGTAGTAGTTTTTTTCGCGGGGAAATATTTACAACATTGAAAAGTTAAAATAACTTACCCGAGACACCAACCACCTCGCTAACCCTCCTCCAAGCAAGCTTCTTTTTATTTCGGTCCCGGTAGCTGTGGTCCGCAGTGTTGTATAGCTCAGAATGAGCACCGACCTGAGCAATTGACGTGTCCTCCATAGCTGTCATCTACCAGTGTTTTTCCGGTAGTGAAATGCGTCACTACGTCACTGGAGGAGAAAGCTCCTGATTGGTCGGCACACGCGAATTCTCCCAAAAAGTTCAACATTGTTCAACTCTAGCGGCGGCCGCGTTGGAGGCACGAATCGCGCGAAACGCGCGTCAAAACGCTTGACATCTCAAAACACGCCGCGCGAATCGCGCGAAACGCTCGAATTCGCGCCGCTCTGGCCGCGCGAATCGCGCCGCGTGATCTCTCGCCGCTCCTTGGCGCGCGTCCCCCATGTTGTGTCAATGTAGACCCGCCGCTTTGGCCGCAGAAATCGCGTTTGGTCTGAACGCACCATAAGTCTGTAATGAGGCGAGTAAATTAATGCTGTCTAGCGCAAACAATAACTGCTGGTTCTGGCGTGTATACAGTAAGACAGTGTGGGATATTGACCAAAAAGGAATACCTCCATTAATTTTAGTTTGAGTTTATCACCAGCAATATCCAGACAATAATGAGGCCGTACATTTCGCACATTAAGTTAACATATACCCTTACAAATAAACTCTTCATCCAAGAGTTTCACAAATCTTGATATTGAATCCAAATAAAACTTACCCTGCTCTGTCATGTGGGTCTATACATTCTTTTTGTAACGGTGAATGTCAAAATATTAGGAGGAAATCAGCATTTATTTCAGCTTTCCTTCATTACAGGGTCAGATGTTTACATGCACAGTGTTAATATTGGGTAGGATTGACTTTAAATTGTTTAACTTGTATATATAGTATATTCATATATGGTGGAATTTTGGCCCACTCCTCCTGACAGAAACGTTTTTAGTAGGCATAGAAAGTCCAGTGTGTTAAATTGAAGTTGTCTAATTGTGTTGGTATTGCTCGACTACGATTTCTTAGAACTTTTAGTATGTTGGACACATTCTATAACCGATCTATGACATACTGAACAGGACCTACTGGAGGGTCAACCTGAGGGTCTAACAAAAAGGACAGTGGTGATGATCCAGTACACTCAACATTCAACATTTATGGACGCGAAGGGACATTTATCAACAATTACGTCATTGGACATCTGCCCCTTATGGACTAATACCAATATGTTTTCTATTTTATTTCTTGTGTTTGATTCACTGATTTGATTCAACGATCGTGTAAAGTCCTCTGAATTCAAATCACTTCAAAATCACAACAGTAGTTATCTCAGTCTCCACGTGCCAATGCTTACAGGGGTCTTCTGTCTGTCTGTTAGGTGTACCAGGTGTATGCGCAGCGCCCCCCAGAGGACGTGCATGAGATCCTGCGGGCTGTGGGAGCTGAGTATGTGGTCCTGGAAAATAGCATCTGCCACGAACGCCGACACCAGAGAGGCTGCAGACTGAGGGACCTGCTGGACCTGGCCAACGGGCATGTGAGTGCAGCCACCATCAGAAACTAACATCTATGGAGCTAGTCTGGAATCTTGACCAGTGACTCACCTGAATTTCTCGGGGGTTCATAAAGTATCTATCTATCTAGGGCACAAGTCCCCTCTTGTTAAGCAGAACCAATCTTAAGGTCTTCATCCAGCCAAGTAATTCAGGATCACAGTCCGGGTCATAGCCAAGCAATTACGGGTCACTGGGTTGGGTTAAGATTAATATCAGTTACTTTTTGAATTGTGAAGAGAGTTTTTTTCTGAAATCAAGCAATAATCAGTCCATTCAATTCAATTAATTTCTTTTTGCATAGCCTTAAATCACAACTGCAGACAGGAGAAGTTGTTGATTTGCCAACATCAGATCAGAAGACAGGAAATGCAATAGTGACAAACACATAGGAGCCATTTGTTCATGCAGGGAGGGGGGTGACCAATGTCCATACATGCATGTGCATAAATGCCCGAGAATGCCAGTATAGAGTATTTCAGGATCAAAATACCTTGGTGATACCAGATTCTGCATTTTCTTGTTTTATCGGAAATCTTTGTTTTTTCGAAGATAAGAAAGGCTTGTTTTTATAGATACAAATTATTACTGCATCATGGGGTTTGGGTCAAAGATAATTTTCTTTTCAAAAAGTTGTCCCAATGGTTTCATTTAAGCACCAGCACAATACTTCCGTGTCATCATTTTGATAATTAATTAGTTGGTTAATTATTATTAAGCGTTTAGTTGTCTAGGTCCTATGACTATGGCATGTCTTATACATTTGACCAAAACAAAGCTCAAGCGGTGCCCCTGGAGAACATCTTAAGACCTGAAACACATTGAGTCTTTAAAACTCTTCTCTGATCATGTTTTTGATCATTACATCATCTATTACTAGATTAGTTGACTTTTTAAATAAATAATGATTAGTTGTTATTCATACTCTCTGAATAACGGCCATCAAAGCCAGGAGATGTACACTCTATTAGCATCACTGTAAATGCATCATCCCATTGAAATTTTCAGCAAAACAAATCCGTATCATTTCCTCTCAGCCATTTCTGAAAAGAAAAACCTCGAGCAGAGATGCATTTGGCATGAAAGCTGGAGCTTGATTGTTGGTCCAAACGACATCTTTTCCTGTTTTCTTGTACCTCATTTCCTTTCAGTCTTACTCACCTGGTTTTCTATTCAGCCTCCTTGCATTATTTGTTTAGATAAAAAGTGTTATTCTAAATCACATAATTAACATGAGATTCTAACATGCTGAAATAAACATGGCTGATTGTTGTCGACCATATGGCTTTTCATATCACGCATAAACGGCACATCAGAGAACAAAACACAAAGCGGTGAAGTGATAGTTGAGTGCATAAATAATAAAGAAACCAATTTTGCCTAATACATCCCCTTTGTAGCAGCATTAGGTCACTGCTGATTTGTTTTAATGGAGCGTCAGTCCGAACACATGTCTGTGTATTGGTGGTGTCCATCAGGATAAACCAGCCTTTTCTTTTGAGACCGTTATTGAAGTAGAGGTCTAAATTGTCTAAAGCCTAAATAGTGCAGTCCCTCTTGACCACTTAAACGAACAGGCGCTGAAAAATTAATATGGAAAAATTGTTCAAAGAAGCAAGCCATAAAACAAATATAAAAACTGCTGAAGCTGAACCCATTAATGTCCACAGTGTAACATTAGAAATTCACAGAAGTAGTAGCTAACCTAAGCACAAAACTTTAAGTGGAAATTCATCAAAAAGGCCACTAAAGTGAGCATGGACTGTTTTACAAAGGGTTGGTTACACTTTTAACGTGGCCAGAAGTCAAAACAGAGCCGTAGCCGTGCAGCCGGTGCTTTTACAGCCAGGAATGAATATCTATGGTTACATTCAGAGATAAATTTCTATGACGGAAGTGAGACACTATCCATTCAATCACTCTCTACCGGAGCACACGGAGGAAACCTACGCAGACACAGGGAGAACATGCATACTCTCCAGAGTAAGGCTCGGAGGTGCAATCCAACCCACACAAGCTCTAACCACTACGCCACCGTGCCGCTCAGTTGGTTTGAATATAATTAATAATAATAATAATGATGCATCGGTTTTATATAGAGCTTTTTTGGACACTCAAAGACGCTTCACATTCATGGTTATAAACTACTACTGCAGCCACAGCTGCCCCGGGGCACACTGACAGAAGCGAGGCAACCAGTATGTGCCATCGGCCCCTCAGACCACCACCAACCATTCACACACACACCAGACTCATTCTAGGCAATGCGGGTGAAGTGTCTTGCTTAAGGACACGACGGCAGTTTGGTACTTTACAGCCGCAGCCGCCCCACTGTGGCACCTGGTGTTCCTTGGGCAAGTGTCTAAAGTGTCTTGCCCAAGGACACAACGACAGCAGACAGTGGGAGTCGATGGAGAAAGTCGGGCTCGAACCCACGACCCTCTGGCTCAAAGGCCAATGCTCTACCAACTGAGCTACTGTCAATGAGACTATTGAATCCAAAATCCAAATCTATAATTTTGTGTTCTTTTTTTGTTATTATACATTCAATTACAAAAAAAATTGATTTTGTTAACTGGAACCCCAGGAACCACATATGGTAAAAACAAAAAACAGCAGTATTTCTCTTGAAGGACTTTACAAATTTGGCGATTTGACCGAATCAGAATTAAACAACAATAACAAACACATAGGAACCATTGGTCCATAAGAGGCAGATGACCTATGTCTGTAGATATCTTACACCCTCCTGCATGGCCAAGGAACAACTTGAAAACCCATTGGGGAAAAGTATCATTTAGCAGTTTATTAACATTTACTATAGTGTGGACTCTTAGTTAAAACTGGGGATGAACAGTTGAGATGATTGGCGGAGCTCGGCCTGGTCTTTGGCTGTGTTCCGATGGAAGCGTCTGAGTCCCGTGGCGCAGAGGCTGGCAGGAGCTCACAGTCAAATATTAGAGTCAGAGAGAGACTGTCAGTCACCCGCCGCTACTGTTTATTTACACCGCTATATCTCACAACCTCGTCTTCACTATATTGATTCATTCCTGGCAAAGATCACGATTTTCTTCACTTTAGTTTTCATCAACATTTAAACAACATTTTTTTATGGTAGTTTTTGTGTTAAAAGGAGATAGTGTCAGTTTTGTCCATGTTAAACCCGATAGTACATTTGGAAAGTTGTTTGAATTCATTCAGTCATAAAACTTTCACTTGTTTTTGTCCTGGGAGAGAATCCCTAGTGTTTTTAGACATAACAGTAGTTTGAGAGCCTGAACTGAACTCTATACTCATCTATGATTCACTGCTTTGTCCCATTAGTTTTCAAACTTTCATCAAGGTATATCTCCATAGGGATGTTATTGCTTTTCCCAGAAACATCCACTCTTTCCCCCACATTTTTTATATATGTGTGTACTTTGTATTCCTAAAAAATGCATCGAATAACATGCTTTCCATCAATTTCATCTGAGGAGTTCACATGTGTCTTCATTGAGATGTATTTATTGAACGCCCTGCTGTGCTCTCTCCATCAGAAAACATGTGTCACTCCTTTTTACTAAAATATACAGTGGTTGAAGAGGATGTATTTAAGATTTGACTCGTATTCTTTCCTAGTTTTATGTAGAAGGAAACATTAGACTTTGTGGCATTTTTCTCTTTTGCGTGAATACGTCCAGAAATGACTCTCCACAAAAGGATACACTCATTACACTAATCACAATAGGACTGATAGAGTCATTGTAATTGAATCAAGACGCCGTTTAATAACCATAATTAGCACATACTTTTAACCAACCTGTTGTTCCTAAGTACATATGTGTCTCAAAACACAATAAACATGGGTCTATTTAATAATATTCCTTAGATTTGCCAAAATACTTACAAAATTGTAATTCATCTTTCCGGTGCTAAATTATGAATTTCACCAAAGAGGCCCAAAATAAGATAAGATAAGAAAGAAAATAGACTTTATTGATCTCACACAGGAGAAATGTACATATCACATCTGGCATGGATAGAGTCACTCAAGAAGAAAAAAAGAAGTGTGCAAACATGTTAAATGCAGGATAAGTTATGTACAAAAAAAGTGGCAATTAAGAAACAGGGGCAATAGTAGTGCAGGTTTTTTTAGTTTTTGTTTTTTTCAGTCCTAGTGCCTCCAATTTACAGAAAAAATTAGTGCTGTCCAACGATTAAAATATTTAATCGCGATTAATCGCATGAATTTCATAGTTAACTCGTGATTAATCGCAAATTAGTCACACATTTGCGTGCTGTGTGCAATTGCTTTTTTTATTGAAAACAATGTGTAGTGTTATATTACACACTAACATTCGATGCAAAATCATCAATAAATGGATGACAAAATAAATAATTGGTAACAAAAAGCCCCTTCAATGTGTGTGTGTGTGTGTATGTGTGGGTATAGACCATAGACTGTATAGAAACATCATGGTGTCATTATGATGATGATAAACAATCTGTAAATATTTTGTAAATTTGTTCATGTAAATACTCTATGCTGTTTCTCTGTTTACCTTCGGTATATCTATGACTGTATACTGTTTGCTTGTATTGCCTTTTTTATTAACCCCTCCCCCCATCTCCCACTTCATGCCGCCCCCCCCCCCCCCCCCCCCCCCCCATATTGTTTGTAATCTCTGTCTACAATGTATCTGAACTAGTCCTTTTCTTTGTTTCTATTTTTTTTTCTGTATATGTGTTTGTCTGCAATAAAAAGTAAAAAAAAAAAAAAAAAAAAAAAAATCTTTTTTGTTTTTTTTTTTTTTTTTTTTTATCGCGCGATAATATTGATTTGCGTTAACGCGTTAATAACGCGCTATTTTGGACAGCCCTAGAAAAAATACATTATGACGATAAAGAATATACAATATAATTCATGAGTTTTCACTAGTGTTTAAAGTTTGGTAGTGTTTTTTTGAAAATTTGTGACTCCTAAAAACTAAAAATGATTTCACATTTGAAAGACTTTAATATTGTTCTCATAATGCATGTGTCAAAACATTCGTAGCCAATCTTTCTGATGCCCTTTGAGGAAAAAATGGGTTTTGTAGCATCTGTACCCAGCACATTTTTATCTGCCCAAAATTACTACTAAATATTATATGAAGACGCAGCTGTGCAGAGGGTGAGCAAGGTTCAGACCTTCATACAATACTTTTTTTGTTGTCCCTGAAACGGATGCATCACCATCCAGAGGCAAGACAATATAAAAACGAAAAGGCTAAAAGTGAGAAAAATAATATTAGTCATCTTTATGAACATTTGAACTTGTTTTGTTTAATGCTGTGGAATGGTTCAAAGACTGTGGATTGAATATTGATAGTTTCTTAATTAACCTTCATTATCAGCCTTTTATGTATAAATAAATTACAAACTTGAAGACAAAAAGAAGAATATAATAGTATTAGTTTGGCATTTTACTGACCTTACCTGAGGGAGTCATTTAATTGCAACTCATTGTTCTTTGAGATATGTGTTTGAGCAAAGAATCAAAAATGTAAATTGGTTTCCTGCTACATTATGCTAAGATAGTGAGGACTTTAGCTAGCATGTGAGAGCTGGACGGGTTAACGATATGTTATGCTAAAGAGCTGTTTTCTTTCCTTTCACTTTGGCCCACATTATCCTGAGACTCACATTCTCACTCTGAGGCTCAAAGGATCTATCTTTTATGTCCTTCTTTAAAAAACATGTGGATGTGAGGCCGCCTTGATATTAGTTATAAAGCTGAACTCTGGAAAATGAAAACCATCAAAAAGCAAAATGTTGTTCACACTTCTGACCACTAGGAGCGCTCTATATGTTTTTATAATAATAATAGTTTGATATAAATCTGTCTATAGTTTTCATTCAGACAGGGAAGTGACTGGATGCAGTGGTACCACCTGTATGTGAAAGCCAGCTCCGGTCAGATCTCTGAGGCTAAGCATGGCAGGGCCTGGTTAGTACTGTGATGGGAGACCTCTGAGAACAGCAGGTGCCACAGTGGAGCGGCTGCGGCTGTAAAGTGCCAGACTGTTGTTGTGTCCTTAGGCAACACACTTCACCCACATTGACTAGAATGAGTCTGGTGTGTGTGTGAATGGTTGGTGGAGGACTGGTTGCCTCGCTTCTGCCTGTGTACTCCAGGGCAGATTGGCAGTAGTAGTTTATCACTGATGTGTATGGAGTGACTGAATAGTCTTTTGTGAGGCGTCTTTGTGTCCGAAAAAGCACTATATAAAACTGATTTATTATTTTATTATTATTATTATGTAAGAGATTATATAACTCTCTAAGATGAACAGTTTTCAATTCTGGTGGCTCCAATTAGGAAATCACAGCTGTAATTATTTCCATTCTTGGGGAGGAACATGTTCACCCTAAGAGCATAAAGCCTTTACTTTTCACAATGCAGAGCTGGTTGTATTTAGGATATGAAGATGATCCAACTTTCATTCCAGTTTAACCATATTTGTTATCGTTATTGTACTTAAATAATGACATTACTGACAGGATGTAACCAAACTGGGCCAAAACTCCTCCAGTGCACAGAGGAAGGTACAGAGAAAATGTAAATGACAAGAAAATGCTTTGATTTAAGATGAGATAAGAACATGTGTTGTAAACCTTCTAATGTTGTACAGACTGTTCTACTTCCTCTCATTCTTTTCCCCAAATATTCTTCACAAACTTAGGCTTTTGGTGTAAAACTATAATCTATATTTGAAACATAACTGCCTTGTATAAGGCTTATATGAAAGTACCACAGGCTGTAAGCTGTATTAGCTACTATCAAAATGAGTAAGTATAGGCTACAAATACATAATATGCATTCATGATTATTATATGTATTATTACTGTAGTGCGAGAGAGTGACGCACCATGTGACTACTCTGCTATACCATATATGCTTTACGTTTAACTTTCCTTTTGTTGCGTTCATACAGTTGTAGACATACAGTAAATAAATCCGCTTTGTGGCTCAGAGTTCACAAACCTGCATTACAGAACTGTCTGTTCATATCCATCACGTCACACGTCGTCACGGCTGGAGTTGGCTGGAGCTGAATGTCCCGAACGGTGTTCGCACTTTCAGCAGTAGAAGTTTGGAGATGAATCCGCTCCAGAATAACTGAGATCGCACTGTTTCTCTCCAAACTGGGGTCAGCAGCTGATTTTCCACATGACTCTTTTGTTCTTCGATATATTCTCACAAAGAAAACATGAAGCAGTCCTTCCTCATTGACAATGAAAGCAAATGTTCCAGTCCATTCTTCCTTGAATTTTTGGTTCTTATCACCTCTTTCTCTTTTCAGCGTTGGGATTTATGCAGACTCATGTGGCACATGCCGGTTTGTTTACAACAGCAGCCGCCCGGCGCGGGGCCGCGTGACCGTGCGTCGCAGGATATGACGCAAATCTCAGTTGACAGAAATGTTGAAATTGAATATTTCTTATGCACATTTTTATTGCATTGGAAAAGGTTAAGAATGTTGTCCCTCCTACAGAAACCACATTGAAACTAGAAATAAAATGTACCCCTCCCACTCCATTTTCAGACATTTTTGAAAAGGCTCCAGGAGCCACTCAAGGGGCACTAAAGACTCCAGAGCCGCGGGTTGGCGACCCCTGTTCTAAAGGAAAGAGTCTTGTCAAAGTAAAATGTGAACAATAAGATGATATTATAACGTTACAACAAAAAGGATGAGGTGATGATCCAGGACACTTTAACATTCTACAACATGTACGGACATTTATCATGTTTCATATTCTTTTTGTGTCTTAACTGTTTTTTCTCTGATCTGTGGTTTTGTTTAGTCCTCTGAGGTGACTACTAAAAACTACTGATGGCACCAAATCGTTTTAAAAGCAAGGAACTAGTTACAGGGATTTTGAGTAAAAGAAAACTGAATAGGTCGTAGAGACCAGAGATAGATAAAGAGGGAGACCAAAGAGAGATGGATGGATACAGAGAGGCAGAGACCAGAGAGAGAGAGATATTTATAGAGAGAGACCTGAGAGCGATTGAGAGAGATAGATTTAGAGAGAGACCAGAGAAAGAATGAGAGAGAGAGACCAGAGAGAGAGATATACTATAAATTCTGGCCTGACTCTCCATCTTACCTATCCACTAACCTCTTCTCACGTCTCGCCTCAGATCATGGATGGAGACGGAGACAACGACCCCGACCTGACTCCCGCCCCACACCCACGCTTCTGCGAGGCCGTGAAGAGCGACGCGCCGGCTTACACCGCCTTGTTCACCAGGACCTTCCAGAACAAAACCTTCCACGTGTACAAACTCAAGAAAAAGCGCAAGAAATCCAAAACCTCCGATCCCGCCGGAGCCCAATGAAACCGCCCCTTTTTCTGCACCTGTCCTTGTCCATTGTTATTGTTCGAACACAAGACTCTCTGAAGTCGGCGTGGAGAGATACTTTTGATTTGGTATCGTTTTTATAAGGGGCGGTAAAGCAGTGGCCAGACACGCCGCGGACTCTGCGCAGCGCCACCGAGACAAGTGCGCTCTGAGAGGTTGTTGTGATAGATGATTGCAAGAGACTATCCTGGTCTTACCTAACCATCGTACTCATTTCATTTCGTATTTAGGTCTAGATTTACTGAATTGAGCTCCGTTAACAGGTGGGAGGGGTTAACTCCTTATGCAGATTGAAACGATTGGATTTGAGTTTACTGTGATGTATGTAATGCGCCCGAGTGAATGAGGCATTTAGCATTTAGCCTAGCTTTAGCATTTAGCTTAGCTTTAGCCATCTCCTTTCCCACTAACGAAGCCCATGGGTAGTAGAGCCACAACATCTTGGCCAGCAGTGACATTTGCTAAATATTTCTTTTGCTCCGCCTTCAATTTCTTGATATTTGAAGCCGAACTAGAACGGATTACTTTACTCTTGCGTTCTCCGCCATTGCCAAACTACAACCAGCTAATTTGGCGCAAACTCTTGACGTTACCGACCCCTACCCACAACACCCTTCTCCCCCGCTCGCTGAATGGTCGGAGGGGATACAACCGAGGAAACCGCAGCCACCGAGACCAGACCCAGACGCACATGTAGAAAATGATTATTTACCAGAGTTTTCGGGTGGCTAAGGCCAGGCTAGCGAGAGACTGAAGTAAAAGGCGTTCCCAAGACTTGTTTTTTTTGTACTTTTGGGACATGTTTACATTGGTGTTTTGTGGTTTTTGTAGCTTCAAATGATCTGTAAAAACAAAAAGAAAGACTCCAGTGTTGAATGGCAGTTGCATCGAACTGGATTAGAGTCCAGTTGGGTGGTTCGGGAGGCCATTAGGATAAGGGCTGCGGGCTGTTTTGTTTTGGTCACATGGGGGTTTGTATAGGGGGGGGGCATGGGGGTTGCATGCCTGATGTCAGCGGATCAATGGAAGAGAGGTTTAGGTCTGAAATGGTCAGAATTTAACAACAGATGTATTATGCACTTCAGCAAGAGGGTCTTGAGGTGTGTGTATTGATTTAAACATAGCATTGTGAACTAAAGCTGCTTCTCAAACTGTGGTACCTAAGCTTCTCCTGGTGATGTTTTTTTTTTCTTTTCCGTCTTTCTGTTTCTATTTTAGCATTTTTTCTTCCTGTTGGGTTCATCAACTAAAAACTACTGTAGAAATTCTGTGCTCATATTTAAGTCCTGGTTTAGCTGGTCTGGAGGTAGAATACTTATCACGTGGTATAGGGCCATTTAGTTTAACAGTGATTTATTTTGTCAAAGACGATGAATTGTGTAATGCACCTGTGTTTTTTTGGGGGGTTTTTGCACATTGTTTGTTGTCAATGGAGTGTAATTTCTTTGCCTGAAATGTTAAGGGGTATGTAGCTTTCATGTGTTCAATTTCAGACAATTTAATCACTAAATATTGTTGCAGTGTCGTCTGCTTCTTATGAAACCTAACATTCCAGGCAAAACTTACAGCACAGTATTTCAGACAGAAACGTGCCTATTTAAACCTGTACAATGGTGTTATTTCCTCCTTCCTAAACACTGAATGGCGGATAACATGATACAAAACAAGTATATTCAGACGGAGAGCCATACGGCCTGATTCTTGTCTAAAAGTGCCAAAATAAACATGGTTGCCATATGGGAGAATGCGTCATCGATGCATGTGTTGTTCGGTCTCCTCATTATCCACTCAGACCATTTTCAGACTCTTCCATGTTGTCCTGTTCATTAAAAAACAAAAACAAAAAATGATAGGACGTTTTATTTAATGGTAAAAATAGTATGTTTTTTGGTAAAAATATGTGTGTCTAATATTGAAAAGAATAGTATATTGATGTATTTTTTTGCTTACAATTTATTCCACGGACACAATTGAATAACCTCACTTCTGTTCACGATTCTAAAACTCACTCTGTTTTTTGTATCCAATTCACTTACTTGGACTTGTTCTTAATATAATAAATACTCCCTGAGTCTACAGCCCACATGGGGACTTTAAAATAGTCTGGCGTTGGCTAATTTTCACAGTATTTCACCGACCTGGAATAGTGTCCAAACCGGAGCTGGCATCACGCACACTGTCTGCTCTTTTATCAACATTATACATTATTGAAGCGCTGCAGATGCCAAAAGTGGAGAAAGCAGACACAAACCACACTTCAAAGGCATTATGTGGATTTGGTCGGTGCGCAGTGAAAGTCCAGCGAAAAACAGCAAACATGAACTATAAACTTATCTGTACATAAACAAAACAATGTCCAATTAGATGGATCGTTTATGACCAATTATACTGCAAGAGACCAGCATCTATAGGTGAGTTTCATGTGTTTGAAATGCAGGGTTCACTATAGTTCTATTCTATACCTCTGGGAAGAACAGACTAATGCAAACAAGTCTCCCTGTGTCGGTACTTCCTTTACTCTCCTCGCTGTGAAGTTTCCCCGCTGTGGGACAAATAAAGGATCTCTTCATCTTAATCTACTGTATGTGGCGTGTACTGCAACACTGACAATCAACGTGGGATCAATGAATAATTATAATAATGCATCAGTTTTATAGCTTTTCAGGACACTCAAAGACTCTTCACATTTCATAATTATTTCACTCCATACACGGTGCTGATGTAGCCACGGCTGCCCTGGGGCACACTGACAGAAGCGAGGCAACCAGTTTGACCACCACCAACCATTCACACACACACCACACTCATTCTAGGCAATGTGGGTGAAGTGTCTTGCCTAAGAACAAAACAACAGTTAGGCACTTTACAGCCGCAGCCGCCCCACTGTGGCATCAGGTGTATAAAGATTTACTCGTCTAAATACCAATGGATTACCAATGTTTTATCTGCTCCTGACAGAGGCCTGAGTGGCAAGATGGGTCAATCCAATCCACTTTATGTATATAGCACATTTCAAACAGTTTCCAAAAAAAAAAACAGAAGCAAAAATAGCAACAAACGGAAAAACACACAGATATAAAAATCAAATAAGAACACAGGACCACACAACTCACGTGGTGTTAAAAGCATAGAAGTGGGTCTTTAGACTAGACTTAAAACATTCCACAAGGGAGCTGAAGGTCAAATGCCCTCAGCTCTTAACGGCTCTAAACTTAACAAAACAAGATAGGAACAATCTCACAAGTCATTAAGAATATTAATATTATAATTGATAATTAAGGTAAGATTATATAGACTCTATTGATCTCACACTGGAGAATTATTATTGTTTTGCTGTATGCCCCTCACCACCTTCCTAATGTTCTGTAAATTATGATGCAACACTGACATTTCTCCTGTGGGACAAATAAAGGATCTCTTGAGCTTGATATGTATATTTTTGAAAACTATTAAGAGCTGCAGCTTTAGTTGGAGAAAAAGGAAAATAATCTGTTGATGAATCTGCAATCATCTCTTATCTAGAGCTTATCTTAAAAACAACAAGACTGTATTGACTCAAACAAATTGTGGCGTACATCTCGTTATCTTCTCAGTCAGGGGTGTTGTTCGGGACTAAAGTATAAAAGTGGATTTACTTTCTCATCATTCCTTCTTAAAGAGCGACTAAACACCAAATCAACTTTTTTTAACTCATAAACTGCATAAGTATGTTTATTGTAGTGCTGTCTACATATCCTGGTCATTTTTTTGACATTTTAGTTCAAATTAGATAAAATATCACTTTTGAGCCAAAAAACACTGTGTGGCGCCCTCTCAACCTTTTTGGTGGTACTACATTTGAATTTGGTTCTGGCCTCTCCATTGGCTCTGAAGTTCTCTATGACATCAGTTGTTTTGTGTGACGTCAGTCTGTCAGAGCCAGTGATATAAACCCATTCAACTCTCACACACGCCCCAGCTGCAGTTTGGAGTATTCTGGCGCCATCTAGTGGATTAAAATTAAATTAATCAAATCAAATCAAATCAAAGTTTATTTGTAGAGCGCCTTTCATACACATGGCAACACAAAGCGCTTCACAGTCCACATCACAAATCATCACATAAAACAAACACCAGAATCACAATTAAAACATTAAAATCACACAAAAGATTAAAACACAATTAAAACATTAAAATCACACAAAAGAATAAAACCATTAAAACTTTCAAAATTACACAAGAAATTTAAAAAAATAAATAAATGACAGCAGTGCATTAAAAATGGAGATAAAATCCTTCAGTTGTATGCACAGGCAAACAGAACAGTCTTTAACCTGGATTTGAACATTGACAGAGTAGACGCCTCCCTCACATTTTCAGGGAGATTGTTCCAGATCTTAGCTGCATGGATCTGAAACGCAGCCTCCCCATGTTTGGTTCTCACTCTGGGCACCAGCAGGAGGCCAGTCCCTGTGCTCCTCAGAGTCCGGGCTGGTTCATATGACACCAACATGTCACTAATGTATTCTGGTGCAAGGCCATGGAGAGACTTGTACACAAGCAGAGCCGTTTTAAAATCTATTCTTTGAGCCACAGGAAGCCAGTGCAAAGACCTGAGGACCGGACTAATATGGTCATACTTCCTGGTTCCTGTCAGGACTCTAGCTGCTGCATTTTGGATGTACTGCAGCTGCTTACAGGTCTGTTTGGACAGACCTGTAAGCAGGCCATTGCAGTAGTCTAGCCTGCTGGAGACAAATGCATGGACAAGAATCTCCAAGTCTGCCCTGGACACTATATTTCTAACTTTGGCAATGTTCTTCAGATGGTAAAAAGCTGTTGATGTTATTGATTTTATGTGGCTATTGAAATTTAGGTCTGAGTCCAGTATTACCCCCAAATTTCTGACCTTGTCTGAAGGAAGTAGGGAGAGAGACTGAAGTTGACAAATGACGCCCTCTCTTTGTTTCTGGGGACCAAAGACAATGATTTCGGTTTTGTCTGTATTTAGCTGGAGGAAATTATTTTGCATCCAGTCACTGATCTGTTGGATACAGTGAAGGAGCAAATCCAGTGGTCCATGTTCTCCTGCAGTCAGTGAGACATAGATCTGAGTGTCGTCAGCGTAATTGTGGTAGGACACTTTGTTTCTTTGTATTAACTGACCTAACGGCAGCATGTAGAGATTAAATAGGAGAGGTCCCAGGATCTCGACCCCTGTGGTACACCACAGGTCAGGGCCACATCATCTGAGACGCAGTCTCCAATCTCCACAGAGTACTTCCTATCCTCCAGGTAAGACCTAAACCAGTCTAGGGCTGTGCCAGTGACACCAGCCCAGTCCTCCAGTCAGTGACATTTTTGCTGGAGTGCTCCATTTGTATTCCTTCAGGCTCACGATGGAAGTGAGTCCCTGCATTGGAATGACTCAGGGACAGTGGTCTGGCCTTGAAGGTGGCCGTTCTTGGAGGAGCCCATTATGCTTTTTCATTAAGCTCCTCTTTTGCCACGCCGTCCTCTGTCGATTCCCTCAACAGCAGAAGCAATCAGCGAAAGAAGGTGGATTGTCACGCTTTTGTTCTAGCTGATTTCCCAACAAGCCATTGTCCCAACATCCTCTGCAGAACTGCTCTCAGTACGTGTTGTCGACATCTGCTGCCACGACTCCCCACGCTTCACAACGGTATTCAGCGTAAGAAAAGACTTGCAGTACCTGGAGGGGTTCTCCTCCCCACGTCCTGAATGTGTTTAAAAACTGGCAACAGCCTCATTCTCCATCCTGCACCGTGGAGTAGCAGATCTAGCACTTGGGAAATAAACCGATGGCAGTGTGTCTGGTCTGAGTCCTTCACGACTCGGAACAGCGTGACCAAAGACTTCATTATTCTGCGTGTGACACAGTGGAGTAAATGACATCAGTTAGTAAAGTTCAATATTGATTCGCCACGTGTTCGTATTCCTTATTTTGTGTTTGGAATTTTTTTCCAGAAATGAACGAAGACACTGACCCGGCAGTTCCGGAAGTGAGTGGCAAGTCTTTCCGCTCGCACGATAGTTCCACCACCATTTCTGACTTGAGGTGGATTACAGATCGCTTGCGTAGTGCCACCCTCTGGCCAGGCAAGGGCGGTGCCCGGTCTCACTCTACATCGGCTGCTCTCCTGTCCCACCAGTGGCTCCACACTGTCCCACGTGACTGCTGCTCTGCACATTATTCCTGTAACACCAGTTCCAATTCTGTCCACTCGTCTTGCGATACTTTAAGTGCTTCCATGTCATCAGGGGGCTGATGCTGCACTCCACTCAATGTATCTTTACTCAATGCACATAAAAGAAGTTCTGGATTTGTGCTTAACACATGGTATAAGGGAGAATATGTTTGAGTTCTATGATGAGGACTCATGTTTATATCAACACCAAGTTTTTACTGTTCAACTGCTCTATCTATAGAACCATTATTCTTTAATTGTTCTAGTCAGTCTAGTTCATTACTTACCGTTTATATCGCCAGTAAAAGTGACACAGTTCTTAATGTTCAAGCCCCTGCTTTTTCAAAAATTTTTCCATAGTGAACGAAAATTTTAAGATTTTTTTTCTGACTGCGAATCAGAAGACTCTAGGTTCGACTCCTGGCTAGCTCGCCACTTGTCACACTAATTTAAAGTTAAAGTAAGTGAATAACAAACAATTAGGTTAGGGCTAAGGGATGCAAGGAAACTAAGACTGACTGACAGAAAGAAACTAAATACGTGAGAGGAGCTTGTGGGAATGAGGACCAGGGAGACGGAGTAACGGAATAAAAAATATTGTATTTGTAAATGTTTCTTTTTTGTGAGTAGAAGATAGAAGTGGAAAACAAGCAATCAATAAATATAACCAATATATTTCAAAAACAAAGTTCAATATTCAAAGTGTGCAAAAAAAAAAAAAGGAAACAAAAAAAGAATTCTCAAAATAAGATGTAAAGGGAAAACCCAACCATGGGGAAAAAACCCTTTTTAATAGTTCTCAGTTCGAAACTCTCGGTTGAGAGGAAAGTTCAGTTACGGTTAGAAAGTTTGTAGAAACCAAAGTAGATTCCTTTCATAAAAAAACAATAATCCTTCATTCCAGGGGGGAAAGGTGTCCAAACTCAAAGTGTCCACGTATTGGGGAAAAAAATAAAGGTCCTACCAGTTGCAGGCTTCTGGGCTCAGCTCGCCACCTCAAAAGAGGAATTTTAATTCAGTTCTGGTTCAGGGTGGAAAAAAACCTGACCGCTGAATGCTGGAAGTTTTCTGATCAGTTTTCTGTTAGTTACAGACGCTTTCAGCTAGACTGCCACACAGGGAAGGGCTAACAGGAAGTAGCCAGACCGTGCATTAGCCTGACGGCCATACTTTAACTACAGCGCCATCAGTGGCGGGGCCAATGAACTGTCTGGGAATCAATGAGGATCAGAGGAAAAGACCTGGGTTACACATGGGTCGGTACACAGAGATCCCATTTAGAAACCAGACTGCTCTCTTTTCTGTTTTACATTCTACTCTGATATAAAAAAAGTTAATTTTCAAATAATCAGTGACCGTGTTTGTGTTGATTCAACACCGTGTCCTGCCTTTGAAAAAGCCGATATTCGTGTTTCTGTCTTGCCTGTTTGATGATCGGCGCTGTGATAGCAGTTTGTTGGGACATACCTGTCTTGTCCTCTCCCGCAGGTCTTTATCTTCATAATGGGGGTGGTTGGTGAGCACTCTGCCTGTGCACAGCTTGATGCCCGCCAGTAACTGCATACTCCCGGCAAACACAGCCCGACGTGGAGTCTTTGAGCTGTCCACAGAGAAGGATGGAAAAGGAGGATTACATGTATTGAATTATAATGTGAGGAAAGGCCACATTATCTGAAAAAGTCTCTCCTAAGGTTGCATGATGAGATTTTTTCTGCAGATTGGGGAAAAGCCAAGGGAATATGAAAAATTAAATAAGTTAATGTTAGTGGTGGACAGTAGGCATAGGTAACCAGCCTTGCCTCCATCACCACAGATTGAGGGACTTCTGTGAAATTAAGCATAAACGTAACTTCAGACTGGTAGACTACCCACGCACGTCATCACACCAGGCAGGCCTCTCATTCCTCAGCCTATCACATCAGCTTCATCGACTCCTTTGCCAGCCGTGACAATCGAGCCAGCGCTTAAAAGCAGGACACCGCATACCGAAAACAACCTTTCAAGCCGTAACCACCTTCTCCCCACCTCGGGATTTCATTGCATGCTTACATCCACCTTGCGCTGTTGCCACCACCAGTGTCTAGGCCCCAGGGAAATATAAAATCTGCTCTCAAGCGATCCTCACAGAGCAAGGCCACAGCCAGGGCCTATGCACCAAACTGACTAAAACCAAAAACTACAAACAAACTCGCAATCAACACATCTTTTCTTGTCTATTGTAGTTTCTCCAGATTGAATCACTTTGAGAGACTTCAAAAACTCTAATAGCGCTTTAAGGCCAACCCAAAGTCTGGAGGTGTTGGTTCAATCTTGTTTGGATTGAAATAGAACTGGACTGAACTGGATGTACCGGCTTATCGATGTATCAGTGTGTGTGATTTTTCATAGTATGTCACCTTTAAGTCAGAGTATCAGTATAGGTTGTATATCATGAGGTTCCTGGCAATATCCAGTCCTTTCAGAACAACACAGTAGCGAGCAGTAAATGTATAAGCGTGACATTCTGGCCTAAAATTGTGAAAAAACCCAAAGCAAGTATTGGTGGTTGTATAAAAGGGTAATGCAATGATAATAAAGGTCTTGGTAAATAAGAAAAGTCTTTCAGAGAACAGTTCCTCCAGTTCTTTTCATGAATGTTTTTTTTATGAGAAATTGAATATGAATTTGAATAAAACAAACCAGTTTTCTCAAACCTCGACCGGAGAGAGCGACAAATAGCAACTAACGTCCTAATGGGCATAAAGAAGGATACGAGTCTGATCAAGGCAACATTTTTAAATCAAAACAAGTAACAAAGTAGTCTCTTGGGAGAACTGTGGATCATGGGTGGTGAAAACTCATTTACTCCAGGACGGAACAATGTTTTGAGTTTTTGAGCAAAATGATCACAGCTTGTCCTTTTGAAAGTCTGTTTTTGTCAGAGGCAGAATAACAAACTAGAGCTTTGATAATCGTATTCGTCATCTTATTAAGTCTGATTATGGTTGATGAAGCGCAGTACAACTATATTAAATATGTAAACTTGTGCTGATGAAGCCGAGGAATAAAGGAATTCTAAACACGCCAACAAACAAAAAGTATATAGTCATCAAAAAGTTAGATTGAGTTCTGAAAAACAATTTTATTCACGTTGTTCTCGCTGCGTTTACCACAATAATTGAAACATATTGATGTTCTTCTTTCAGAGTGTGTGGCTTCAAGGACAGTGCAGATACCTGTATAAGAAAACACAGAATTCTCTGGCCACAAAAATGTAATTCCAAATTCCAAAGTTGTATAATTCTAAATCTCAAAAACGGCGCCATATGTCTAGTGGAATGGTATAGAGTGGAACCTTTACTTTTGCATTATATTAAAACTACATTCACGATGATTTGAATATTATTTCTAAAACATGATTCAATATAAGCTTTCTATTTTACAGTAACTGAATGAATAACGTCCATCCTCATGTTTCGTAGTCAGACTTCTGCCTTCGTCAGAGGTGACATGTGGCTCTTATCAGCTGATGTTTTCAAATGTGGCTAGTCTGACACAGACTAGCCACATTTGGTATAACAGATCCGTAATGTGTCATTACCACAAAAATCTGTCAGGTAATTAAGCAGCACTAGCTTCTTTACACTTTTGTCTTAAAACAACTCAGAGTTTAACTGTTTTAACATGAAAAATCAGAAGACATCATTAACTTTTTTCACATTTAGATGCTCTGAATAACAGGTATGAAAATTAAGGATTGAATGAATGTGACATTTTGGGCCCAACTGTGACAAGACATCTGCAGCATTAGAGATTTATTTTAATGGTAACCACCTTAGAGAAGCATAATATGATTCAAATTAAGGATAGTAAATTACCACAGACCCAGTTCTTAACATTTGGCAACCCAATTAAACTTGATTTAGTTTGCCAGGAATATTTATTTGATCATGTTTGCTCTGAACATATTTGGTCTACATGTTTTGTTTTGATTCAAGTGGCATCAATGGAAAAGTGGGAGAAGGCACTGAGGCATACATTTAAGTGATTGTCTACGTTGAAAATTCAATGTTTTCAAGTACCGTTACCAAATACTGCAGCTATTTTAAGTGATTCTGGAATGTATTGCTAAGAATGTATAGGTATCTAAAGCATGACAGGATGTGGGTTGAAAAAGGTGAAAATATATGTCCTGCATTGGATTCACCTGTGAATACACAAGAATGCAGGAGAGAGACACTGCTGTAGGCGGGATGTGAGGCAGTAAAACGCGTCAACATTGAGGTCAGCAGAGGTTATTCCAACAAATGTATGTGGAGAAAAGAACTGGTTCAATAGTTAACTGCATTTCGATACAAATACCACACAGGTGGAAGCAAGTGGAGTACGGCTGGAGTCAATAGGGGAAAAGACATCTTGAAGCGGGTAGAAATACAGTGTGTAGCCTCAATGGTACTTCAGGCGTGAAATATGAACCGGTACTACTATTATATTACTATTGGTACTCCGGTGGTACAAGTTTTCATTCACAAATACGAGTGGTAAGGATTAGTGATGTATACAATCAATAGGGACAGTATCAATAACTGAAGATGTTCAGACTGTAAGACTATTCTCCTGTAGCCTGAGTCCTGGATCTATAGCCCGTCCGTCCGTGGGAGCGGATGCCTCTCTCTACGTGTATCTCCCCGAGGGTTCTCACCATTTCCCACTGAGTTTTTCCTTGCCGATGCAGGAGGATTTGTTAGACACTTGTGAGGGTCTAACAAAAAGGACATTTATCAACATTTATAGTTCATAGTTCATCTGTCGTTTATGGACCAATGGCTCTATGTGTTTTTATCATTGCATTTCTTGTGTTTGAACGGTTTGATTATCTGCGTGGGCAAATTCATTGGTTTGTCAAGTCCTCTGTGATAACTACTGTTGTGATTCAGGGCTATACAAGAATACATTGAATTGAATTGATTTGAATTCTCCCATGGGCACTATATCACTCACCTTCATATAGTGCAGTCCTGCTCTATATGGACCTTTGCTGCCAATCAGCCTTTTGTTTAAACAGCTTTCTGCATCTATTCAAACAGCCTTCTGCATTTTCACAGATTAATCTCATGACACGCTTAATGCATGTAATTTTCAAAATGTAAATAAGCAAACCAAATGTTTTATTAATTTTTCTATGTTATTATTTTGCTATTACCAACATAGCACTTTGGAAAATCTGATGTATGAATACAGTGGATTGGACATTCCAAGTGCAAAAAAAGAATAGGTTCCTTAAAGTTAAACCATCTCTCAACATCTATTGCCGACCAAACATGTCAAAAATACATTAAGATGGAAAATGCTTGAAGGATTTATCTTCAACAAACTAGAACCTTTGAATGATATTTGCAAATACACATGAGTTTTATTTCAAAAGCAGTCGTCTTTGATTTCAAGTGAGAAACTGGGAGAACGGAAACAATATGCTTTTTTATTCCTTTGGCAAATTCCCCAGTCACAATGCTCAGATCAGGACAAATACGACTTACTCCAAAGGAAATGAAAGAAGGAGAGTTTTAATGATCAAAATTGAATGTGTAATTATGGAGTTTTTAATCACAGTAATCCAAACCCTTATCTTAGACTGGGCTGTGCAATCCCATCATGCTAAATGTAAATGTTGACGACGGCTTTTGGATTAATACTGAATAGTTTTGCATTAAAGCAGAGTGTGGGGGGGTAGTGTCTTGGCCTTTTGACCCGTGGAGCCTTCCAGGTACTTTCTATCCTCCCACGTCTTATATCACTCAGGAGTTCCACATCCCTCCATCCAAACTGATTAACATTTCATTTCGTCCGCTGGTATGGAAATGCCACAGGGTTCTGGTAATGCAGCCCTCTGACATTATAAAAATGAAATAATGATATTAATAGTCAGTCACAACGAGGCATAGATAGTATTTATGATTGTTGTTGTGTAGAGTAGATGGTGAGCTTGGCCTTCATTAGCAGACGCAGATACATCCACCATACTATTTAAATAAGGAATGCAATATCAAGACATTTCAATATATTACAATGGCCGTGTCAAAACTCTGCTTAGAAAATTATTTTGCAGAGGTGTTTATTGACCAATATTTGCCCAACAGGTTTCAGGATTTTTGCCCATTTGGAAACATACAGCTCTTGCTTGAGTTGAGCTAATGTAGGTTGCACTACAAGCTAATGTCTTTATAGTGAAACTGTTTGTTTGAGAATAATTTGTTGGTCATCTCAGCAGTGTGTTGATACAGCTTTTCTGCTTTCACTCAGTCGTGTCTGAATGTGCTTGTTGCCGTCTGCTGTTGTTTTATCAACTCTCGCACTGCCACTTCATTGAACAGTCTGCCAATGTCTGCATGGAATACTCTGTGTGCATGGTGTCCAATGTAAATACAAGAGAGGATTATATATGTCAAGTTGTCAGTTATAAATGACATGTATTCAGTTAGAAATGTTTCAGTAAATTCCATTGTATTTCATTTGTCCCTTTTTTATTTTTGCCCTGCCCTGGGGCACACCGCCTGCCAACTAGAATGTGCCATCGGCCAGTTCGACCACTGCTGATCATTCACGCACATATCAGACTCATTC